CCTCAGACTGAGGAAGTCTCTTGGATGAGAGACGAAACGTTTCTAGATTTTTTTTGCTTTGTTTTGTTTTTGTTTTTTTTGAATGTCCAGAGGACCAGATTGAACTTTTTTGGATTGTACACAGATCAAAAGTTAAAAACGATGTAAAATGAGCTCAAGTCATTTTCAATGGGGAAGAAAATGGCGGAACAGGCTAAATATTTTTTTTCCTCCCAGGCTCTGATCGAGGTGGCAGTTTCTGTTTCTCCTCCCCCGTTTTTTCCTTCTTCCTGCTCTGCTCTCTGTGTGTCTGAAGTGCCTGGGTCTCATCTCCCGAACATAAATTAAGAAGATTATGGATTTGGTATCGTGGGCGTTCAACTCTATTGATAAGATTTTTTCATCAAAACGACAAGGTCCTGGGGAACCGGCGTGTCCAGCTGAGACTCACGCTATGGGGTATGTCATGGATTTGTGGGGAGTGTGGCAGATGATGTGCCTCTCAGTTCTGTCTCAGGAGGATGTTGAAGACGTTTACATATTTGGACTTATGATAGCAGGGGCTCTGCTTTTTGGCATCGGCGGGACTCTGTTTTATTGACTTTTGAAAAAGACATAGGCAGCAGTTTTGGCCATGGAAAAGCTTCTGAGTCAGTGTGAAGGTCTGGTCCTCGCTGTGGGAAGTGTGAAGGTCTGGTCCTCGCTGTGGGAACTTTAAATCGTCTGGTCTACGAGCTTAACCGTAAGGTGGAGGCGATTGAGAATCACAGGCCACCTGCGGCTTCTGGGACTCGTCAGCGTGGTGGGTTTGACCTTGAAGGAGACTCATAGCATGGATCAGTGGAATGGAATCCCACAATTAGGCTTTTTCGGAACCAGAACGCCCAGATGGACTCAAGGCTGAAGAAAAAAACGTCTGTCTGCCTGAAGAAAAAACAAAAATCAAGCTTATCTAATCTGACTCCCAACGGCCTCGGAGACGGGCTGACTATCAAATTTCTCCTGGGACATGAGTACCCAAGGACAAAAGCTTCATCTATTGTACCCCCCCCCCCACCCCACCCCGAGAACTTTCTGTGCAAGCTTATCAGAACTGCTGGCTGGAGCAACATCTTCAGAAACTGTGGCTGATCTAAAAAAAGCTCATAGACAAATCTCAACACCTCAATGTCAAATGCAAATGTAATCATGTTTTAATTGTGCTTGCTGGTAGAGTTTTTTGAGGTCTCAAATCATGTCCTGATAGACAAGATGTGAAAGATCTTTTTTTGTAATACCACTATCTACCCTCATGTTTCTCCCCTTTTTCTATCTAAATTTATCTGATAAGGATAAAATGGCCGCGCTCTCCTGTAGTTGCAGCTTCGTGCACTCCGCCCATCTTTCGGACGACTGTACGTACATATTCGCGTTGTACCTCGGTGCAATTCCAATAAAGTTTATTCTGATTCTGATATCTCAAAAAGCTAAAGTTGCACCAATACCAAAAGTCATAGCAGTCATGTCCTGAAACAGCTGAACGTTTTGATATATGAATTGTTGAAATAGCACAAAAACTGTGGGAGTAGTTACATGCTGAAAAACGTACGGAAGAAAAAGTGGATCTCTATAGTATAGCATTCACACAATAACCATGAAATTTATTTAAAAACACATGACTTAAGTTTGTTTTATAAATATTGATATAAAACTAACGTGTTTGATTCAAAGTTGTAGAAATTGCCTCTTCAGGTTAAATAAATTGCAACGTGAGATTGAGAAGCTTCTTCATGTATTCTATGAACCAGTCTTCACCTCTTGTCTTCCTTCCCTCCCAGAGGAATCCAGCAGCAGTTGACCAGCTACAGAGAGACGGTGATCCGGCAGGCCACGGCAGCGGCGGGCTCCACCATCCATCGGGATGATGCACCCACCTGTGGAATCTGCCACAAGACCAAGTTCGCAGACGGCTGTGGGAACCTGTGTTCGTACTGCCACACCAAGTTTTGCGCTCGCTGTGGGGGGAGGGTGTCTCTGAGGTCCAACACGGTGAGGAAATGTTCTCCTGATGGGGCTTATTTTTATTTTTCTCCTGTAAAAACCTCCTAGATGCAACTTCTTTAACCAGAGATCCACAGACTCTTCTTCCTGAATGGATCCAACAACATGTTGAAACTTGCAGCAGAACAGAGATTAGTGACATCTGGTGGTAAAGGTGCAGATTACTGCACAGCACTTTTATGATGAGGACTCAGTTTTCAGACTTTCAGGAGAATCTGTCTGTTTGATGTAAAAAATGTGAAAAGTTTTTCAAGGTAACAGTATGTTTGTTCAGTTTAGACCAGATTAGAAACATGTGGGCACAGCCACAAGAACTTCTCAAGCATAAAGATATGAGTATATCATCCGCTGAAATAAACAAATATTTGGAGCGTTTTATCATACATTAACAAAATATATATTAATTTTCCACCAATAAATCCTGTGAAGAATTAAAAAAACCTACAAAAACAAAATGTAGAGATGTATTATTAGAGGAAAAACCTGCATAAACATCTAGCTGACAAGTTGGATAAAACTGATGGAGTGAGTTGACGCAACCTTGTTAGAAAAACTGAAAAGATTCTTTGATTCTAGGGATGCACGATCCACTTTTTTTTTTACTTCCGATCCAATCCCGATACCTAAACCTAAATATCATCCGATACCAATCCAGTTCCGATATCATGATCATCATTGATTTTATATGAGGCTGTAATAATCTCCTCTCAAGTACAATTTGTACAAATATATGCATGCATGTCCAAAAAGGCAACTTGAGGTAAGTTTTATTAATGTTGGATAAGTTTTAAAGTTAGAATTAAATTCTGCTAACACAAAACAGTTTTGTTTTTTTTATTCCTAGTTTTAAAGTGGATATTAAAGTGATTAATTTAAGTGATTGTTTAAAGTTATTTTATATATTTTTTTAAATAAGGGGCAGATATAAGACTTATTTTTCTTCTTTCTGCACTCTTTTCATTCAATGTTTTCTTTTTGATGATTTTTTTTTTATTTTGTTTCTTTTAAATGAATGAATAAATGAATAAAATAAAATAAAATAAAATGTTAAATGGCTTCAAACACCTGGCATAAACCAACAGGCATGTTCCTGTTTTTAGTATTTTACATCACTTTATAATGTAGCTGTTTTTGTTTTTAATATAATTTTCAAATCATATATTTTTTATGATTGTCTACTGTTGTACTGATAAATATCTCCTGGAGGATAAACTATATCTTGGCTGCAAGTATCAAGGTGTGAAATCCTTCGTTTTCTACAACTGATAGTGGTTGGTTATTAATTATGAAGAAGTTTAGCATTTCTCTGTAAACATTCGAGCTCCGTGGTTTCAGCGATGTCTTCTTCTTGTTCAATCCGAAGCAGGCAGCCTGATTTGGGGCAGCCGCGCTCAGTCTGTCCCTCCTCAGAGACGGGCAGACTGAGCGGGGCACATTGGACGCGGCTGGCCGGGGTCGAGTTGCCTGTTGTGGGTTGAGCAAAGAGCAGCGTCCCGCTGAAGCCACGGAGCTCGAATGTCCATCGTAAAACTAACTTTACCGCGGTTTAATGTGGCGCTGTGGCTCTGCAGACATTGCACGTTGCTGTCTTGTTTTGTGGTGTTTAGTGTAAAATACTTCCACACAGCGGACATGTTTAGATGGAAAGTTTGTTAGCTGTTAGCCACAGTGCTGCTAACTCAGCCCTCACGTTGGAGCTGGCTGCAAACTATGAACTAGATTTCCTGAATGTGAGGCGGGTCTTATTACTCTGGGATCATGAGACACGCTGCCGTTCAGGAAATCCATTCCATAGTTTGAAGCCAACTTGCATCATGGATCGGAAATATCGGCAGGTGGATCGGAAAAATCCGATACGTAAATTATGCTGGTATCGGAGGCCGATACGGATACTGGATCGGATCGGCCCCATCCCTATTTGACTCCTAAACAAACGTCTGAGATTCTGTGAGAAAACATTACATCTTTTCTCAATTTCAAAAAAGACGGGAAGAGGTGAAGAGTTAGACTTCTCAGCTGATCATTGAGTGATCTACAGTGATCCCCCCCCCACCAAAAAAATCTACTGTACACCCATTCAGAAATGTTACTGACAACCACTGAATGAAAACAGAACGGAGATTAAAAACATTAAAAATAATGTTATACATTTTAGATTACGATTTGTACACAATGACATAAAAAAGATAAAATCTTTCCATCATCTTTACCTGCTTTCCAGGTCATGGGTGTCACTGGTGTCCATATCAAGCAGTCACTGTGTGAGAGGTGGGGGACACCCTGGACAGGTCTCCAGTCCATCACAGGGACACATAGAGACAAACGAGACAAACAACCATTCACTCTCTCACTCACACCTAAGGACAATTTAGAGTTACCAATCAGTCTAACGTGCATGTTTTTGGTCTGTGGGAGGAAACTGGAGTACCCAAAGAAAACCCACGCATGCACAGAGAGAACATACAAAGTCCACCTAGAAAGGCCCCCAGACTAGGATTTGAACCGGGAACCTGCTCGCTGAGAGGCGGCAGCTCTACCAGTTGCGCCACCATGCTGCCCATTCTTCTTTATTTTTTAGTTATATTATACAAATATGGTTCAAATCCCAGCCAGGGTCTTTTCTGGGTGGAGTTTGCATGTTCTCTCCATGCATGCGTGGGTTTTCTCCGGGTACTCCGGTTTCCTCCCACAGACCAAAAACATGCATCTTAGGCTGATTGGTAACTCTAGATTGTCCCTAGGTGTGAGTGAGAGAGTGAATGGTTGTTTGTCTCATTTGTCTCTATGTGTCCCTGTGATGGACTGGAGACCCGTCCAGGGTGTACCCCGCCCCTCGCACAGTGATTACTGGACATGGACACCGGCGACCCTCGTGACCCAAAATGGAAGAAGTGGGTAAAGATAATGGATGGATGAAAATCACACTAAATCAAGTTAATTAAAAAGGAAAAAAAAACAAAAAAAAACAAAAAAAAACAAAAAAAAACGTTCATTAGAATAAAGTCAAGTCAAGTGTTAAGTGATCAGTTGTATTGTGAATGTGTGAGTGCCTCCCCCTGTGAGTGTGCACATTATTTGTGTTTGTGTGTGTGTGTGTGTGTGTCAGGTGGGGGCTGGTAAAGGTTAATTGGGCATTAGACTGAGCTTTGGACTGAGGGGTGGTCTACCACTCTGTCTCGGTCTCCCGGGGGTCCGGAGGTGCCCTATACACTCACAGTGGGGTGTGGGGGCTATGAAATAAGAGAGACACTTCCCCCTCACCGTTCATCTTCCTTACATTACTGATGTGACATTTAATGACCCCACACACCAACAAACACACACTTTAAAGTACATCCTAATTAGTAAAATGATGAAGAGTTCAGCTGGTGGCAGGGTGTGTGTTTGTGTGTGTGTTGCAGCAGCGGTGGTGGTGCTGCATGGCAATACAGAAGGTCTTTAAAGACTAAATTCCACTCATTGATGCAGAAGAGCGTAGAAAATTGTTCCTTACTAATTGTTCAATTTAGAACATTTTTATTATCTAACAGTTCCACAAAACCTTAAAGAACTTGTGTGAGCATGTGATCAGTAAGGTATGTTGAAAATATTACATGGATAATTCTGATTTTTGGAAGTGGACTTTTGAAGAAAGACTATAAGCAAATGTTGTCTGTAGACTTTAATGTCTGGGTCATAGTCGATATGAAGTGATAAGTTGTGTGGTTGATGTGGTGACATGATGGAAATTGTGTATTGTTTTGTTTTGTGTCCTCTGAGGCCCTGTCCTTTGACAGAACTAGTGTCTCAGAGAATATGCTAAACATTGTGTGATTGGTCAGAACTTCATAGACATGTTTGTTTATGAAAAGCAGCTGCTGCAAGCTGCTTTCATTTCTGCTCTGCTGAGGAACAACTGGTCAAGGCTGTTGGATGGATAGATGGATGTATGGATGTACATATGTATGTATGTACATACAGTGTATATATGTTTGGATGTAGGTACAGTGTATGTATGTATGGATGTATGGATGAATGGATGGTTTTGGTCCCAGTTAGATTAGTGGTGAGCTCTCCAGTATTAAACTCATTTTTTCTAAACTGAGGTGGTCAAAAAAGAGCAATTAGAAAAACTTTTCAAACTTATCTGTCATTATTCAATTTCTCCAGAAACTCAACCAACCATCACAACACATGCTCATTTAGTCCTCTACTCCAGCAGGAATCATTAATAGAACGCAACAAATCTTAGCAGAACAGTGTTTAAAGCACGGGAAGCAGTCCTGTCAAATGATAAGAGCTTCTGCTTTCTGATTCTGTGACGTTTCCAAACAAAGTGTTCAGCAGAACGATGGCATGAGTTGTTCCATCTGCACTTGGACAAGAACCATGAAATGTCCTGGCCAAAAATGACCTTTCTTGTTCTTCTTCTTCTTTTGGCTTTTCTCTCTTTAGGGGTTGCCACAGTGAGTCATTCTCCTCCATCTCACTGTCCTCTGCATCCTCTGTCCTCCCTCCAAGTACCTCCATGTTCTTTCTAACTGCATCCATATATCTTCCCTTTGACCTTCATCTTTTTCTTTTTCCTGGCAACTGCATTTCTAACATCATTCTACCAATATACCCACTGTCCCTCCTCTGGACATGTCTAAACCATCTCAGTCTGGCCTCTCTCCCAGTTATTCAACCTGCGCTGTACCTCTAATGATCTCATTCCTAATCTTATCCATCCTTATCAATCCTAAGGAGAACCTCAACATCTTCCTTTCTGACACTTCCAGTTCTTTCTCCTGTCTTTTTGCCAATGCCACTGTCTCCAGACCATACAACATAACTGGTCTCACAACTGTCTTTTAAAATTTCCTTCGACCTTTGCTGACACCCTTTTGTTGCAAATCACTCCTGAAACTTTTTTCCATCCACTGCATCCTACCTGGACTCTCATTTTCACCTATTTACCACATTCCCCATTTTCCTGGACAGTGGACCCCAAATACTTGAAGTCCTGCACCTTTGTGACCTCTGCTACTTGTAGCCTCACTGTTCCACCAGCCTCCATCTCATTCACACACATGTACTCTGTCTTAATATGGCAGACTTTCATTCCTTTTCTTTCAAGTGCATACCTCCACCTCTCCACGTTCTCTTCCACATGTTCCCTGTTCCCAACACAAACCACAATGTCATTTGCAAACGTCATAGTCCACAAGGATTCCTGCATGACCTCATCTGTTAGTCGTCCATCACCAGATCAAACAAGAAGGGGCTCAGAGCCGATCCTTGATGCAATCCCACCTCCGCCTTGAAGCTATCTGTAACTCCTACAGCACATCTCACAACTGTCCTGCTGTCCTCATACATGTCCTGTACCAGTCTAACATGCTTCTCTGCCACTCCAGATTTCCTCATGCAATACCACACCTCCTTCCACAGCACCCTGTCATATTCTTTTTCTAAATCCACAAAGACACAATGGAGTTCTTTCTGACCCTCTCTCTACTTCACTTTCAGCATCCTCAAAGCAAAGATGGTGTCTGTGGTTCTCTTTCTTGGCATGAAACCATACTGCTGCTCACAAATAGTCACCTCTCGTCTATGTCTAACTTCCACAACTCTCTCCCAGATCTTCATTGTGTGGCTCATCAACTTAATGCCCCTGTAGTTGTTACAACTCTGTACATCACCCTTGTTCTAAAAAATAGGCACCAGCACACTTCTCCATTCCTCAAGCACTTTCTCACCTTTAATTATGTCATTGAATATTTGAGTCAAAAATCTCACTGCCGTCTCTCCAAGACATTTCCAAATTTTCACTGGTATGTTATAATGTAAATGGACTGTACTTAAATAGTGCCTTTCTATCTTATCAAGATACTCAAAGCACTTTACAACACAATCTGTGCCTTCATTTACCCATTCATAGAGCACTCTACTAGAACTCTACATAGCTAATTGAACAAATCATTCTAAAGAGACTAATTTTTCATTCAACCTTTATCAGTGCTTTATCATATTCATACACTGATGGGACACACACTAGAGGCAATGAGGGGTTCAGTGTCTTACCCAGGGACTCTTCAGCATGTGACTGCTGGTGGATTGAAACCCCCAACTCTTGCATTGGAAGACGACTGCTCTAACCACTCAGCCACAGCCGCCCCCTACTGCCTTTCCCTTCTTCATTCTTTTCAGAGCTTTCCAGACTTCTCCCTCATTAATCTTTCCCACTTCTTGGTCCACAGTTTCTATGACCTCTACTCTCTTTTCTTTTTCATTATCTTCATTCATTAGCTCCTCAAAGTACTCCTTCCATCTTCCCGTCACACTCTCCTCACTTGTTAGAACATTACCATTACTATCTTTAACAAGCCTAACCTGCTGCACATCCTTTCCAGTCTAATCCCTCTCTCTTGCCACTCGGTACAAGTCCTTCTCACCTTCTTTCGTGTACAGCCTCCCATACAACCCATCATACGCCTTCTGTGTTGCCTTAGCTACTTCCCTCTTTGCTCTACGTCCCATCTCTTTATATTCCTGTCTCCTCTTTTCAGTCCTCTCACTGTCATATTTCTTCTTGGCTAACGTCTTTCTTTGAATAGCTTCTTGCACTTCACTATTCCACCACCTTGTTTCCTTATCATCCATTCTCCCTTCTAGATGACACTCCAAGTACCTTCATACCTGTCTTTCTTATTGCTGTTGCTGTAGTAACAGTAGTCCAGTCATTTGGAAGCTCTTTCTTACCAACCAGAACCTTTAACAGCTCCTCTATGAATCTCTCACAACATTCTTCCTTCATCAGCTTCCACCATTTGGTCTTCTCTGATTTGACTCTTTTTTTCTTCTTCACAGCAAAAGTCATTCTACACAGAACTGTCTGATACTGTCTGGCCACGCTCTCCCCTGCTACAACCTTACAGTCACCAATCTCCCTCAGGTTCTTCTACAAAGAATCTAGTCAACCTGTGTACTCCTTCCTCTACCCTTATAGGTTACTCTATGTTCCTCCCTCTTCTGGAAATAGGTGTTGACCACAGCCATGTCCATTCTTTTGGCAAAATCCACCACCATCCGTCATTCCTGGTTTCTTTCTTTGACACCAAACCTACCCATCACTTCCTCATCCCTTTGTTTCCTTCACTAACATCTCCATTCAGGTCTGTTCCAATCACCACTCTCTACTCTTTGGTAATACTCTCTATCACTTCATCCAGATCCTTCCAAAATGTATATTTTTCCTCCACATCATATCCAACCTGTGGAGCATAACTACTGACAACATTTAGCATCAGACATTCTACTTCTACCTTCAGACACGTCATCCTATCTGACACTCTTTTCACTTCTACAACGTTCTTTGCCAACTCCTCCTTCAGGACCACCCGTATTCTATTTCTCTTTCTAGCCACACCATGGTAGAACAGTTTAAACCCTGCTCCAATGTTGCGAGCCTTGTTGCCCTTCCACTTGGTCTGTTGGACACATACAACTTATACCTTCCTTCTCTGCATCATGTCAGCCAGCTCTCTACCTTTGTATGTCATTGTCCTCACATTTAGACTTTCCACCCTCAGTCCTACATTCTTGACTTTCCTCTTCTCCTTCTGTCTCCTGACACGTTTCCCTCCTTGTGGTCTTCGACTAACAGGAGCACAATTTTTTTCTGCACCCTGTTTGTCAGTAGCACCGGTGGCAGTCATTTTTAACCTGGGCCTTGATCAATCCAGTATGGTTTTGAATTATAGTTTTGGCAAAACTGTTTTACGTCGGATGCCCTTCCTGACACAACCCTTACCATTTTCCCGGACTTGGGACCGGCACAAGAGATACACTGGCTTGTGATCCCTAGTGGCTGTTAAAAAAATACCCTTTTTAAAAAATGACCTTTGTTTTTATTCTTGACAATTAGTTTTTTTGTACTTTGTCTATTCAAAAATAATTGCCCACCCTTATTGTACACAAGAGATGAGATATTTGTAACATTTACACAGGACCCACTTGATGAACTACCCTTTCAAAACCTGTTGTAGGAGCAACTTCAAACCTAAACAATAGTCTCAATCAATAATTCTTCATTTTAGATTCTGTCTCCACTGATGAAAGTCAGCCAATAAATAATTATTTTATTCATAGGGTAGCACATAAAAAACAAAAGTACCTATTTCTGTAACAATTCTATTCATCCTTGTGCATACAGTTTACAACACAGGTATGATTGTGTAAATATGTATTTCTTCTGGTTTTGTTCATTTGGATTTCCTTCCTTCTACTTAGTAAAGAAACACCACCAAAGCTCAGTGAATAACACTTCTGTAAATTAGAGTTAAGGCAAAAATAAAATAAATCATATAGGCTGTCTTTGTTGCACAAGTTTATGCATATGCTTTTCTTTTTTTTTAAGCCATAAAAATTTTAAGGCATTTAACACAGTTTATAAAATGCATCAGTGTTGATACTTTTGGATGGGAATGGTTTCAGTAAACCTGAAATATGTTTGTGTCACAGTGTTCACCTTTGACACAGGATGTAAGATTATTGCTGGTTTACATTCTGTCTTTTTTCTTTCAATATGTCTGTCTGACTGGGCTGCAGGAGGACAAAGTGGTGAGTGCTGTTTTTCTCTTGAATGAGCATCTCTGTTTGCTGTCTTTGAGAATATTAATGGGCAAAATTAAATTTTCTGCTCATACACACCTGCTTTGTTTGCTGCATGTGAAGAGAAAGTTACATCACATACAGAAACTTCCACATTGTGTCGATGACTTCGCAGTTTCATATTACTCATAACATGTGAAAAGTGTGGGAATCAGAAAACATGAAGAAATAGACATTCCCAGTTCTAAATCATGTTAATGCAGTGGTTCCCAACCCTGGTCCTCAAGTAGCACTACCCTGCATGTTTTAGTTGTTTTCCTGCTCCAACACACCAGTTTCAGTGATGGAATTACTTCATCAAGTTCGGCAGAAGGCTGTTGATCTTCCATTCATTCAGGTGTGTCAAAGCAGCCAAACAACTAAAACATGCAGGATGGTGTTCCTCAGGGACCAGGGTTGGGAACCACTGTGTTAATGTATGTGAATATTTTTGTTCAGTGCCCTGAGGCAACTTGTGTTGAGACTTGGCGCTATATAAATAAATGGAATTGAATCAAGTTATTAATTGTTCTAGAAAAATAACAAAAATTCATATAGGAATTTTGTTTTTGGATTGTTATTCCTTTGTTGTAATGATGTGTCTGGGCAATAAATCTTAAATAATTGAAAAGTCTGTTCATTTTAGTTTAACTGGGGTCACATTGGTAAGGAAAATGACTTTGCGGTTTCAGCAGCAGAGTTATAGGTTGATCCCAAGAAAAACTTACTAAACCTCTGCCAGTGCCAAACAGCTCATTCAGCCATTGCTTCCTGTTTTTGGCTGCTGATACACCAGTAGCTGACAATCAGGTGCCAGTTACCCCACTACAGCGGTCACTTGGCATCTGCTCCAAGCATGCCGCGCTTGCTTGGTCTGCATAGGGCCTGTTTTCTGGGACATCTTCGAGCTGGCGTTTCATAAAATCAAGTCGCAGCATTATTTAGTGAGCCCTAGTACATCTCTAAATTGAAGGTCAATATAATGAGGGATGTCAGTGACAAATGATGAAATGAATGTCTCTGCAACCAGCGGCAATCCCATATCTCCACAGTTTGGTACCTAATTCTATCCAAGGAGCCAATGCTCTCACCCATAGATGTATCAGCATTTGTCACAGACTATCTCCAGAATTTGTCATTCCTGACTATTGAACACCTGTGGGACCAGATTAAACATGCTCTTCATTCCAGAGTGGCCAGCACCACCACACTGGCTGGTTTACAACAAATGCTGGTTGAAGAATGGGATGCCAGTTTGTGACCAAGCTGGTAAACAGCATGATGATGATGTTCCAGGCTGTTGGAGCTATACAGTATATGGTTCTTCCACATAATACAGAGTGTGACTATGGATCAGTGGTTATAGTAGTTGTCCTCCAAATAGAAAGTCAGAGGTTTGCTTCCACCTGTATGCAGTCAGATGTTGACATGTCCCCGGGGAAGCCAATGAACCCCTTGTTGCCTCTGACATGTGTTCTGTGTATGAATGTAATCTTAATCCCTGATTACACTCTATAGAATTATTTACTCAGATTATCTTTGTAGAGATGTTATAGAGTGCTGTTTAAATGTGGGTAGATGGACAAATGAGTTCACAGATGGTGTTGTAAAGAACTTAGAGTATCCTGGGTGGTTAGAAAGGTGCTTGTCCTCCATTTACCTTTTCCTGAGGCCCTCGTTTATTAAACAAATAAGTTGTTAAACTACCAATATGTCTGTTTCCTAAGACTTCAATCACCAAGTTCAATAAATGACACCAAACAAGAGCAGAAGAAGCTGTCTGGCACCTGTCTCTTAGTCAGCTCTGCTGCTTAACCAACAAATACATTTTCCTTACAAAACTGACACTTTCTACAGGGAAATAAAACAGGTTTTCTAATGGTATAAAATGTATTGCCAAGAAGTATTGTTACATTCAATGTTTTCCTTCTTCTCGAAAGTGACATTTCTTTTTCATTTTTACTGTTTTTAATGCTTAGAGCAAGTAAAATCTGTAGGCTCAAGGTAAACCTGGAAACCTTTCTCAGCACTTTTACTAACAAATAGCAGCAGAGGCTGTGAGAAAGGACTGCCCTCTCCTGGAGGCAGGAGAACCAGGTGCTTCTGAGTGAATGGAGTGAGAGGTCCGTTGCTCAGAAACCACTGCTTTATTGTCCTGAATCAATAGATCAAATGTAGCGCTTCACTGCTACTTGTAATCAATGAGCTCCCCTCTGAAGTCTGCTTCTTTTTGCAACAAAATCTTAATTTTTGACATTTTAATCTAGTTTGCTAAATTTCCTGAGTGACTTTGTAGGCTAAATGTCACTAACAGCAAACTGTGGACATACAGCACGCATAAATTTGTGTAAATCACCAGATGCAAGGCTGTCTTAACTGTCCTTGTGGGACAATTTTTTGTTTGACCTGCCCCAGACACATAATCAATGAGTCAAATGGTTATCTGGAAAAGAATAAAAAGAAAAGAAAATCATGTAATTATTTTTAAATCCGTTACGGTCTTTCCCATTAGGCGAGTTACGTAAAATTAGAATCATTCAATTGTTTTTATTTATTTATCACTCAGTAAGAAGTTGGTTGTACAATTATTATTTTTTAAATCATTTACAGTCAGAAATATTTTTGAAACAACACACTAAAATGTGCATTGTTAATGCCATGTTTTTTTCACTGACATCAGTCAGAGCACAAAGCACCAAACATGGCAGTAGTCTTTCTCCAGGCTAGGCTAAAGGCTAGCCAAATGAGGGCTCATTTCACATCTTTTTTCAAGCTTATAAAATAAATCTTTCATAAAAATACTAAATCTTTAGCACTCAAATAACACAAATGAATTATTTTATAAGCATAACATTCTACATAAAATGGGTCTCTTTTGATTAGCCATCAGCCTAGCCTGTGAGTGGACTTTTCATCCTTCTTCATAAAGGTCGTAGGATGGAGAAATATTGGTTTTCTATTGTTCTCCATTCTCTATTGGTTATTGAAACTTATTTGACAATCAGTTCAGAAATGATCAGATACAGGGGTGTTAAACTCACCTACAAAAGGGTGACAAAATTAAAAACTTTTTCAAACAAAGGGACAATTTTCTTGGTTGACAGGTTCTCAACAAGAGTTTGATTGTTCTCATTTGACTTTCTCTGATATGCTTTTGACATAATAATCAAAGATTACTGAAAAATATCAAATGATAAAAGTATTTTTCATATCACATATCATCGTGGAGGCAAGATAAGATGTCAACGAGAGCCATATTCCCCACCCCCCTCCCCCCTTCCCCGGGGCGTTGTGTTTGAAAACAAGTTTAAAAAAAGTTTCAACAGTAAAAGTAAGATCACATGATGGTAATCTTTCTGATGTTGCAGTTTATTTCTAAAAAGTGGACCTGGTGGACATGTTGTAACACATCACTGTACGTCTGGAGTTGTCAGGTATAGAAGCCTTGGCTGCCAGACACAACAGCAGCTGCCAAATATGCACTTTGATGATTTACTAGTGGGCCTGAACGCCAACAGTGAACTTTGTTGTTCCATCTGCATGGCCATCTCACTGACCTCTTAAAGCTTGGAATGACAATCACTGGCATTGAACAGAGTGGTATGGAGAGAATGGAGGCTGAGCATTGCTCTGAATGTATGGAAGGAGCATCAAAACATTGATCTAAATATATGGAAGGAGCATCAAAGCATTGCTTTGAATGTATGGAAGGACCATCAAAGCATTGCTCTGAATGTATGGAAGGACCATCAAAACATTGATCTAAATATATGGAAGGAGCATCAAAGCATTGCTTTGAAAATATGGAAGAAGCATCAAAATATTGTTCTGAATGTATGAAAGGAGCATCAAATCATAGCTCAATATATGGAAAGAGCATGAAAATATTTCTCTCAATGTATGGAAGGAGGTTCAAAGTATCGCTCTGAGCATATGGAAGGAGCATCAAAGCATTGCTCTGAATGTATAGAAGGATCATTAAATTATTGCATTTAATATATGGAAGTAGCATCAAAGCATTACTCTGAAAGCATAGAAGTAGCATTAAAGTATTGCTCTGAATATATGGAAGGAGCATCAAAGTATTGCTCTGAATCTATGGAAGGACCATCAATGCATAGGTCTGAATATATAGAAGGAGAGTCAAAGTATTGCTCTGAATGTATTGAAGGAGCATCAGAGTGTTGCTCTGAATTTTTAGAAGGAGCATCAAACATAGCTCTGAATATATGGAAGGGAATATATGGAAGGAGCATCAAAGCATAACTCTGAATATATGGAAGGAGTTTCAAAGCATTGCTCTGAATATATGGAAGGAGCATCAAAGTATTGCTCTGAATGTATGGAAGGAGTATCAAAGCGTAACTCTGAATATATGGAAGGAGCATCAAAGTGTTGCTCTGATTGTGTGGAAGGAACTTCATAGCATTGCTCTGAATGTATGGTAGGAGCATCAAATAATTGCTCTGATTGTATGGAAGGAGCTTCAAAGCATTGCTCTGAATACATGGAAAGAGCATCAAAGCATTGCTCTGAATGTATGGAAGGAGCGTCAAAGCATTGCTCTGAATGTATGGCAGGAGCTTCAAAGCATTGCTCTGAATGTATGGAAGGAGCATCTAATAATTGTTCTGATTGTTTGACAGGAGCATCAAAGCATCACTTTGAATATATGGAAGGAGGATCAAAGTATTACTCTTAATGTATGGACGGAGCCTCAAAGCATTGTTCTGAAATTATGAAAGGAGCCTAAAATATTGCTCTGAATGTATGGAAGTAGCGTCAATGCATCACACTCAATATATGGAAGAAGCATCAAAGTTTTACTCTGAATGTATGGAAGGATCATTAAAGTATTGCTCCAAATATATGGAAGTAGCATTAAATCATTTCAGAGTCAGAGTCAGAGTCAGAGTTTCTTTATTGTCATTCGCACCTCATGTGGTACATGTGGTGGAGCGAAATTATGT